GACCGAAGAATTACAGGAACATTCTCCCTCCAGCTCCCCATGTCCCCTCCCTCCCTTCCCTGTCAACCCCTAAATGATTTAGGCAATTGCCTGCAGCCAGATATTCGCATCCAGTCATAAGTCAGAGCAGCTCGGTAAACATGACAGGCCAGGAGCTTTTCCCAGCTTATCACTCGTCCATGAGTCTCTTTCCTCAAAGGGGAGGACAACCTATGACCCTGGGATGCTGAGCGGGGTCATCCTAAAATACCCCCTGGGCATCAAAGTTTGAGAAAGCCCCCCCCAATCCAATATGATAGTCCTGTGGCCTTCATCACCCTCTAGACTCAGAAGACAACCACAGAACCACAGAATAATGTTACAGCTAGAGAGGTCTTCAGATGCTGGGAACTGATGGTGTGAACTCACACAACTTGGACAGAAGTTGCCTTCCTGACAATAGACAGTGTTCAGTGTTTATTGAGCATGTACTAAGTACCAGGCATTATCCCAAGCACTTTGAGTGATGTATCCATTTACCACTTCCAACAATGTTTGAGTTGGGACTACTATTCTATACTTTACTAAGAAAACTGAGGGTCAGACAGGTGATGCCAATGTCACAGACTTACCAAGGAGGAAGCTGCCACATGGGTTCAGAAAACCTGTTCCCAGAGTCTGTACTTGGTGATCTTCTGCTCTATTCGATGCTAGGCTTTATGGTGCCTGGGAAATCCCCCAACCCCTGGTCCCAGAGTTTTACTCATCTACCTACCCCCACACACACTCATGTGACAGGGCATAGAATGACAGCAGTGGACCTCAAGCTCACTGGCATGGTCAGAGACTGGAATCCAAAGTAATACTTGAAAACCCTTCAGCTCGACTTCCCCAGCCCAGCCTGTCTTGGCTTCCTCTGCTGCTGCTACATTGAGCTGACGCCTCACCAGTCCCCTTTCCTAAAACACCGACTTCAGGACCCAAAGAAGGCAGACAGAGAGTCTCCTCACATTAGGAATCAGCCACAGGCTGGGAAGAGATCCTCCTAAAATCCCCTCGTCTCAAGGAGGCAGTCTTCTGGACGGGGGCTGCAGCTAGTGAACGCCTTCTGCATACCAGCCTTTCCTGAAAGTTCTTCTCAGTCCTGAGCACACCTATTGAGCTTAATCTCTGGGGATCTACTGTCTCCAAAATGACCCAAAACCCAGTATAGTAAACAAGGACTAAATTCATGGTCCTGGTTCTTTAAAAAATAAATAAAGAAGGTGGTGGTACACACCTGTAATCCCAGCACTCCAGGAGGCAGAGGCAGGCAGATCTCTGTAAGTCTGAGGCCAGCCTGGTCTACAAATTGAGTCCAGGACAGCCAAGGCTACACTGAGAAACCCTGTCTCAAAAACAAGCAAACAAATAAACCCAGAATTTCATATAAGGGCTGTACTCTAGCAAATACAACGCACACATATACAGCTCAGAGCCATGGACAGGCTGCTAAAATGAGCTGTGTGTGATAGTAGTCGTGGTTCTAGATGCCAGGGTTCTTGTAATTTAGCTGGGAAGACCTGAGTACAAGCACACACTCACACACTCACACACTCCCCTGGGGTTTCAGGATCACTTTGAATCTCTAAGAAGGGTCACCCCTATACCTATTGTGTTGTGCCTGTGGGCAATAAGAGGAGAAAATCCAGGGAAGGCTTGGATATAGCTCAGCCTTCAAAAGCTGGCATGGTGGTGCACACATTCAATTCCAGAACCTGGATCAGAAGCTCATGGCTATACCGTAAGTTTGGGGCCAGCCTGAGCTATCTGAGACTGTTTCAAAAAGAAGAAGAAGAGAGAGAGAGAGAGAAGAGGAAAAGGAGGTAAGGGACGATAATCCAGGTGCTTGTCTGTCTCCGGTGGTGAAGTAGATGGGGCGGGTTGGGCAATGGGATTAGGTCAGAATTTAGCAGTCACCTGTGTCTGGCTTTTAGGAAGCCCGGCCCTGGGGGAGAGGCTGCAGTGCCATATCATAGCCATCTCTAGAGGCCCCTGGGGGAGGGCGGGGCACCAAGGCCCTTCCAGCATGGCACTCTGTGTGAGGGCCTGATTTCTTCCCAGGTTTGTCCTTCTTTTGGCCTCCTCCAGCTCAGGGTGTCTCAGTTAAAGAGTACTGTTGTTCCAGGACGTGCCACGAGGGGGCGCCATCATTTGACTGTATGGGGCCAGGAAGGGTGCCCACTCAGTGAACAGGCCCCACCAAGAGCCAGACTGAAAAAGGAGATTAGGGGACCCAGAAAAGGGACTCTAAACCACAAAGACTGTATTCTAAGCTCTTAGAGGACAGAGACCTGACTTTAGGTGTCCTGTCTCAGTCACGTCTGCATGAGGAAGTGATCCCCCTTGACAGTCTAATTCACTATGCCATGGGGCAGGAAGAACGAACTATCCTTTACAATGGGGAGAACTGACGCTTCCAGAGGTCAAAGACTGACATGGGGTCACTCAGCCAACCCCTAGCAGAGCTACTGATAGCCTGGGTCTCCTAATTGCTGGCACAAGTCTCCTGATGTCCCAGCCTCTTCCAAAAACATGCACCATGTTGAGAACACTACAGAGGGAGAGAGGGAGGAAGGGAGAGAGGGAGGGAGGGAGGGAGGGGGGGGGAGGGGATGGATATGTGGGTGCGTGGTGGGTGGGTGGATGGGTGAGTGGATGGGTGGATGGGTGGGTGGATGGATGTGCAGGCCCTGTGGTCTTGGTTTCCAAACTTCCTTAGAGAAGACTTTTTTGTTGGCCCACAGGACACAGAACTGAGTAAAGTCTTAGCTTCACTCTCCACCCTTCCCAAATCACAACCTTTTCCTACCATGAGACTCTCAAAGCAGAAGGCAACTGACATAGAGGCTGATTTGTTTCTGGACATGAGCCACGTAAGCTGCAGCCAGGGAGGGTGGCTGGTTCACGCCAAAACAGGGATGTCCTTAGAGCTCCTTGTATGAGTCCTGCTGGGGGTGGGGGGTGAGATTTCTTCCCAAGCCTCTTATCAGGGGCTGGGAGTGTGGCTTAGATAGCAGAAGACTCCCCAAGCATTCCCTAAGCCCTGTGTTCAGTCACCAGCACCACAGAAACTAAGTATAGGATGCATACCTCAAATCCCAGATAGTAGGAAGATGGAGACGGAAGGATCAGAAGTTCAAGGTCAACCTCGGCGATCTAATACATAGGAAGTTAGAGGCAAGCATTGGACATAGGAGACCCTGTTTGTTTGTTTGTTTGTTTGTTGTTTTTCAAGACAGGGTTTCCCTCTGTAGTCCTGGCTGTTCTGAAACTCGTTTTGTAGACCAGGCTGGCCTCGAAACTCAGAAATCTGCCTGCCTCTACCCCCAAGGAGACTCCATTAAAAAAAAAAAAAAAAAAAAGGCAATCAAAGCTGCTGTGTTGGCGGCACCTGCATTAGAAGGAAAAGGCAGAAATCAGTGTGTAGATATGCAGCATGTAATATGGTAATAAATGCTACTGGGCACAGGCGAGCAGGGCAAGGGACACGGACTTCCTGCTATGAAGGCTGAGTGACAGGCGTGTCTACGGCAGGATTTTAGACAGCAAACACTACCTGACTTCAGCTTCAAAATAGCCCTCGATGCTCTAGCGGGGAGGGTACTGAGGACAAGGCGACGCAAAGACAGTTTGCGGCATTGCAATATTCCATCAAGAAAACACGGGGGCTGGGAGTGTAGCTTGGATGACCAAGCCTGGAATGGACCCCATCCCCAGAACTGCAGAAGCCGGGTGTCTCGAGAGGGTGAGAGGAGAGGTAGAGAGGAGAGGGCCTGGAGCTTAGAGTCATCCTCAATTATCGTTCCAGCTGGAGGTCAGCCTGGGCAATAAATGAGCAAGGGTGGTGGGGAGAGAAGAGGAGGGGAGGGAAGGGGGAGGGAAGGGGGAGGGGAAGGGGGAGAGAGGAGGAGAGGACCAGAGAGATCCCTCCACAGCTCAGATTAGCACACACTGCTTATGCAGAAGACCCTCTTTGAGTGACCAGTACCAAGCAGGATGGCTCACAAATACCTCTTCTGGCCCCGGGGGCAATTGTTGACTCACTTACACACACACCATAAAATTAAAAGCAAAAAAATCTTTAAAAATATATTTATTTTATTTTATTTTTTTAAAGAAAGAGCTGGAGAGATGGCTCAGAGCACTTACTCTGACCCAGGTGTGTTTCCTAGCACCCTCATGGTGGGTCACAACCATCTGTCTATCACTCCCCCTCCAAAGATGTGACCTGGCCTTCCGGCCTCCCCAGCTCCTGCGCCCCTGTGGTGCTCATAAACTCATGGGAGCACACGGTGCGGCTTTTAAGAGAGGGAAAAGAAAAGAGGGAACGTCGAACTACGTGGTGGCCAGCAGACCCTGGCCTTACTTGGAGGCAAAATAAACAGTGTTAGGGCACTGCGTGGTGGCAGAAGGAGGAGTTTTGTTGCTAAGTGCCTTCAAGATCTTCTGGAGACACAGGCAAGGGGAGTTTGCCCTTTCCTGAAGTAAAGAGAACTCACAAATGGTAAGGCCACCAGGTTTTTGACGCTGTGGGAACGTAGTCTAAGATGCCTACTAGGTGTTCAGGCGGAAACAGGAAACTGGGCCTTCGGGTCGCAGAGTAGGACAGATACTAAAAGAACAAAACTGAAAAACTCAGGTCTCCCAGCTTCCAGCGGAACTCTCTCTCCAGGAAAGAGAAAACATGCTCTCACACACAATGGGCAAGTGGGATTTCGAAAGTTGGGGCGCAAAAGAGGAAATACGGTAAGTCCTCGCTCGCTCCGCGCGGGAGCTGCGGGCGTTCACCGACTAGGCCGGCGCCTGCCGCGGCGGGTTCCCCGCGGGAACTTGGGCGAAGTGGAGCGGCCCAGGGCTCCGCGCTCCTCGCGGGCGGAGCTGCGGCTGCTTGGGCTGAGGGGCGGATCTCCTCTCAGATCTGGGTTTCTTCTCTGTCCCTTCGACGGTCTGGACTCCTTTTCCAGAGCCATTTACTTAACCTGGTGGATCAGCTGCCTCGCGCCGTCCCAGGCTGCGTCTCCCAGATCTCCTGGGTGTCGACCAGCCCCTCGGACTCCAAGCGGCAGCGCGAGGACTGGGAAGCCACGGAAGCCCACCCTCCTCGATTTCAGAAGAAAGCAGGGACAGGGGTAACCTGCCCAAGAACCCGGGAGCCGTGCCAGACTCCCAGCGCGTGGGGTTCCCAACTTCATGGCTGACCAATGAGCCCCCATGGTCCCAGGGGAGTCTGGGGACTTCAGCTCCATGCTTACGAGCCCTGTGTTTCAGCTCGCCCCCTTCCTCTCCGAGGTATATAAAATAAATCGCTCTTGCCCTACCTTTCTGTCCTATAGATGGACAGATGTTTGTGTGTTTGTTTTTTAAATTTCTTTAAGCAACAGCTGTTCTTGACGAACGGGGTACCGTCCTGGACTCCTGGCCCCAAGCCTGTGTCCTCCCGGCTCTGTAAAGCATGCCACCTCTCCAGCCATCGAGGGGATTAGTGGGCGGGACAGGCCAGAGTGGAGCAGTCAGGCCCAAAAGAAGCCCCGACACAAAGCCACGGTGTCTGCCCGGCCCCCCAGGGACTCAGGGGTCAGTGACGAGGGCCTCGGAGGAGGAGGAACCGGCAGAGCGGAAGTCCCCGCTCCGAGGCCCCACACCCCAACCCCCAACCCCGGTCGGCCCCGGGGCAGGTGAAGAGAGACCGGGCTCTGCTCCAGGTGGCGGGGCAGAGGCGGGGGTGGGGAAAGGCCCGGGCAACAATGGCACTTTTATTTGGGACTGTTGGTTTCTGAGCGGGTGGGCGGAGGAGGAGGAGGACGCCGACCGGGCCGAGGGGGAGGGGACGAGCCGCAGCATCTGGCTACACACCTGCTCCTACTTAACCCTGTGCGTGCCGAGGGCTAGCCGACTGAGGAGGCTTTGGGGACCCCCCCCTCGGGTCCTTGGCCAGGCCTGGAGACCTCCGGGAGCAGGAGCAAAAGGGATGCCCACAGAAACACAACTTCCGAGGCGCCTGGCAGCGCCCTCGGACCCCAGTGCGACGCAGCAGGCTGGAGAGCAAATTTGGGGAGCTTTAGGGGTAGGCGAGGACGCCCTGCCGTCCCGTGGCCATGCCGGGGAGCCGGCTCTCCGCAAGCTTGGGGGCGCCCGAGCCCTGCCCGGCGGGGGAACTCTGAGCAGGACAGGGCCCGTCGCGCGCACGCTTCCGGGCCCGGCGCTGCAGGTGAGCCGGGCGCCCCGCACGCTGGCCCCAGGCTGGGCCTCGCGGACGCCCCCTGCCGGTGGGGAGGCCCCGCGCTGCACCTGCCCGCACCCGGGTCGCCCCCGCCGCCTCCCAAATCCCGCAGGTCCACGGTGCCCCCGGGCCGCCCCGAGGCCTGGCGCACGGACTCGCTGCACAATCCGAGCTTGTTTGTAGGCGGAGGAGACGGGTGCGGCGGCCCCGAGCCAGCCCGCTGATCCCATAAAATATTATTTGTGTTTAAAAATTCCAGTAATTGGCTATGCAGCCGCTTTTTCCGAGCCCTGTGCCAAGTGCAGTAAAAATTCGCAGCCCGGCCGGGGTTATTTTCATCATGCAAATTCTCATTTTTCTGTAAACAGGGTTAAAACGTTTGGAAGGCCCACCCCACACACACCACCACCACCGCAACCACCATCCTCTGCAGCTGCGACCAGAGAAGAAAAGTTAGAAGGACGTTGGTCAAACTGGTCTCGATCCTGGGAATCCCTGGGTAATTGGAGAGCATGATTCAGATAGCCCCCGGCAGACCACCGCCTGGACTCTGTTGAGTAAACTCCCATTTCCTCAACTTCCTCCTCTTCTCCTATCTGAACTACATATATCATTAAATCATGAAATTGTGATTCTTTTTTGTTTAAAAAAATTAACTTTTATTGGTGTGGGGCGGGGGTGAATGTCAGAGAACAACTTGCAAGAGTCAGGTTTTGCCTTCTACAGTAGGGAATGGAACTTGGGTCATCAGACTTGGCGGCAAGGGGCAGCCCCTTTTCTCCTCTTTGATCACGCTGAGGCCCAGAGAAGAGAATAGCTTCTTTAAAGTCACACAGTAAATTTATGCTGGAGCTCAGGCCCACACGGCTTGTCCAACTGCCCCGCCACCAGGCTCCCTGCAGGCGCCGAACCGGGGAAGGCTGAAGCAGGTGGCCAACGCTTCCCACACCCTCTGTGGGGAGAGACTGACTGATTCTAGGCGTAGTAACTGCGGGGGAAGACTGCAACTCTGAAAGTGCCCACTTCCTGTCATTGCCTGGGGGAAAGCGGGGCGGGGGAGGGGGGGAGAGGGGCGTCCCAGGCAGGGCCTTGGAAACCCTGAGTAATGGACAGGAGCCTCTGCCGGACTCCACCCGCGGCTGGTTGGTGTCTGCTGCACCGAGCTGCTGAGAGGGAAAACTGCGCACGTGGGAGGAAGGGATTGCTTTTCCAGCAGAGGCAGATGGTAAGAAAGATGGAACTCGAAAGAAATATGTAACACATGGCTGCCGTCAATAGGTATTATTTGCAGTATATCTAGAGACCTACTGTGTGCTAGACACTACTTTTCGCTTGTGTCATCTGACCAGCACAAGCTGGGGAAATGGGAACTAACTTGCTTCCCACTTTGCAGATGAAGACACTGAGGCCCTAGATGAAGTCAGTTACCCGAGGTAGCCAGGAAGGAAATCTCAAGTGTTCAGACCTACCTACCCCTCCTCCCAGACTTTGTAGGCTTCTTTCTTTGGCCTGGATGTGCCTCAGCCTTCTAAGTCATCAAACCCCTAGACCTTTCTTCTTGCTTAAGATTCCGTAGGTAGGCAGGCTGGCTGATTCTGAACTTGATCTCCCAACTCCAGCCAATAAAAACAAGGAAGGGACACAACAAAAGAACCACACAGGGATGCTTGGTAGTCCCACCGTCCCCATGCACACCCCGAGCCAACCACACCCCCTAAAGCTCCATAGCAGAGACAAAACACTAGCAAATGGAGTTCCAGGTCGCTGGCAATTCAGCACCAACTGGAGGGCCCTTGCACACAAATCTCTCTATTTCTTCACTTCTATGTTCACAAGTCAGCTCCAAGGCTAGGACTCTAGCTATACTGCTATAGAAATTTAGGTTCTCTATGCCTGTCATTCTAGTAGTCAGGAACCGAATAATGACACCCAACTTGGCCTAACAAAGAGACTTTGTCAAAAAAAAAAAAAAGAAAAGAAAGAAAGAAAGAAAAGCCACGCCAGATTCTTGCTGTCCATTTAAATTTAGTGAACACCTGAAGTTTATCATCAATGTCTAAAAACACTCTCAACGCCAGCCACAACGGTGCCTGCCCAAAATCCTAATCTTTGAAGGTGAAGGCAGGCCATAAATATCATATTAACTTGGATCCACAAGGAAATCCATCCTCAGAAACAAACAGCCAGGCATGATGGCCGACACCTTTGAGCCCGGCACTTGGAGGCAAAGGCAGGCAGATCTCTGGGTTTGAGACCAGCCTGGTCTACATAGCAAGTTCCAGAACAGCCAGGGCTCTGTCATGAGACCCTGCCTCCTAAAACAAACAAGCCAGGCTGTAGTGGCCCATGCCTTTAATCTCAGCACTTGGGAGGCAGAAGCAGGCAGATCTCTGTGAGTTCAAAGCCAGCCTGGTCTACAGAGTGAGTTCCAGGACAGCCAGGGCTACACACACATACCCACACACACACACACACACACACAAGCAAAACCAGCCAAACAAAAATAAAAAGTGGACGATATAGTGAGCTATTCCTACAATCCCCCAAATTTGGGAGGCCAAAGCCAAGGATTACTATAAACTTGAGGCTAGTTTGGTGTACATTTTGGAGGGCAGACTGGGAGAATGTTTAAAAAAAAAACTAAATAAATAAGCAAATATGAATCTTGTGCTGATCCAGATGGATCCAGGGAGAGTGAAAGTTTCTTGTCCGTCTCTGACTACAAATAGTGCCTAGAGAAGATGAAGCTTATCAGCCCATCTAGAGCCATTCCTAAAGGCGGCCAGAAGTCTACAGAGGGATGGAGACTCTTTCTTAAGGGAAAAAAGAACATGAGAAAAAAAAAATGTAAAAGCTGGTCGTTGCTAGTGTGGGAAAATAGACATAAAGAAAGCCAGCAGTCTTGGGCACTAGTAACGACGACCTTCCCCAGCACCTCCTTACTGTTCCGATTGGACCCTTCTTTCCAGAATTGCATGAAGGGCCACTTCTGGGGCCTGGGTGTGGGCTCCAAGGATGTGGGAAGAATTTCTTTCCTACCCATCTTCCTGCCTGCCTCCCGGCTAGCCCACTCTCACCTGAGCTGAGCTGTGGACTCTCTCTGAGATACCATCTGTCATGCAGGTGATCAGGGGAGATGGAAGTAGAGTGAACATCCCAGAGAGCCTAACAAGCCAGATTTGATAAAGACACTATAGTTCCTTGGGGCATGACACACAAAGATGATGTCACAATGGATTTGGAGGTGTGGTTCTTACCTTTAAACTAAGATAAAAGCAGTTCTTTCTCACATTCCCTTCCCTTCTGCTCCTGAGTGGATAGGATAGAGTGGCATGGGCAGGTTCCATGGCCTGTCAGCCACTGGGCAAGTGACTTCAGAGGTCCGTCTCACCGACAGACATGAGCAGAAATGATCTCAAATCCAAATCTGTACAGAAATACCAGTTAGAAATATATATAGTCAAGGCAGAAGGTCCCACTATGGCTCAGTAAGGCTCTCAGGAAGCATCTCTGACATGCCAGGGACAAAGATAGGTAATGGTACCCATCAGAGAAAAATGAGAGGTTGAGGGATCCTACCCAAGGCGTCTGTTTAGGTGGTGAATAGTCCAGGCTTTGGGCTTGCTTTGCCTAACTGGTAGTTTTTGTCCAGCAGAGGGACTGAGAGCCAGGTATTGTGTCACATGCTTTTTTGTGATCCCAGCGCTTGGAAGACTGCACCACCAGCCAGGAGAATCAGGAGTTTGAGGCCAGCCTTGGCTACATAGTGAGACTCTGTCTCAAAAAAAAAAAAAGGAAAAAAAAAAAAAAACAAAAAAAAAAAAACAAAGATTAAGGGAAGTTGTCAATATATTCTATGTATCAAGATCAGCATCCAAAAGGCCTGGGCTGGGTAAGCCCACAGTAGAAACCTGGGGTGAGTGGTGCTAACTAGGGAAGGTAGGGGTAAGATAGGAAAGACAGGAAGAGAGATTTGGTTCTTCCCCTGACTCTGTTAATTCTGGATTCTCTTCATGTGAGGTTCCTATCCCCCTGTTTTGTTTTGTTTTGTTTTGTTTTGTTTTGTTTTGTTTTGTTTTGTTTTTTTTAAGAGGAAAGATGGTTGAATTCCATCTTCAATCCTGTGCCCAAGATCCGATCAGTGGAGGATATTTGGGACAAAGAAAAAGAAGAAGAGGAAGTGGAAGAGGAAGAAAGGGAGGAGGAGAATGTAGACCAAGAACAAGAGAAAGAAGAAAACAGGTGTGTAAGAAGGCACCTTCCCTATGCCTCCTCCCATCCCTCCCGCCCTGGAGATCTCAGTGCTGGCCTGCACCTTAGCTGTGTCTCCTCCTCTCCCTGATGCCATCCTTCCTTCCTGTTTTGCTCAGGATCAAGACCCTTTTCGGAGTTCCCAAGAAAGACCCAGTGTGGAGCTTCATGTCTTGGCCCAGGCCCTTCCCAGAGCAAGTCTGGTGGTGGGAAGACTTCTCCCTGCCCCCACTTCGAGGACCCTGCCTCTGCAGATGCAAACTGGGCACAAAGATGAGGCTCCGCCCCCTACCCTCCCTGACCTCCTGCTCCACCCCTAAACCCTTTCCCTTAGTGGCATCCAGAGAAGAGCCTAGCTGGCTAAGAAACCAGCCTGTGATGCAGCCTCCACCAACGTACAGACTGAAGACCCCTAAGACAGTGCCCAAACTTCCTCCCAAGGTCTCCCCTAAGAGACCTACTGCTCCCAAGGCCGGGCAACAGCAGACCGCAGTGTCAACGTGGCCTCCAATAACTATGAGCTCCATTTCAAAGAGCTCTGCTCTTAAGGGACAGCATAAACCCTCTACCACAGAGGCCTCTCATATCCCAGGTGCCTGGGGCAATCCTTTACCTCACCTTTCTTCAAAATAAATATTTTTGTTACACCGGCAACAGTCAGGCACACTTTTAGTCACTTTCAGATGTATTAGCTCATGAAATCATCGCAATATTTCTAAAAGATTGAAACATAGGTCAGGTTCCCCCTCCCTGACTTGCAACAGGCTCATCCTGTTGCCCAGGTTGATCTCAAACTTGCTCTCCAGCCAAGGAAGACCTTGAACCTCTGATCCTCCTGCTTTACTTTGGAATGCTTGGATTACAGGCATGTATCATGACACCCAGTTTCTGATCTGAGCTGCAGCATTAGCTTTTATTTATATCATTCCTACGTATGTATGTATGTATGTATGTATGTATGTATGTATGTATGTATGTCACCATGCACTCAGGGATGTGCTTAGAGCAATTAATGCTGGTATACTTATTTGGCTACTCAAGTTGTTCCCATTCTGGTCATGGGGGGAGCAGGGCTCCTGCCATTTTGCATTCTCTGTTTCTTTGGCATACTCCGGTCAACAAGAGCTTTGACAAAGAAACACTTTTGCCTTGCTTCACTCAAGCACTCACATGGGCGCAGGAACTATAAAGCATTAGGAAGCTAGGCAATGTAGCACATACCTATAGTCCTGGTACCTGGGAATCAGAGGCAGGAGGATTACCACAAGTTCCAGGCCAGCCAGGGCTACATAGGAAAAGCTTGTCTCAAAACAAAGTAAGAGCTACTGCTCAGAACGCACTGCCAACTCTGTCCTGGCCTGGCCTAGAATCAGCTTGTCTGCTGTCTCTCCAAGGTACCCCGTTCCCTCTTACTGGGAGTTTAGATGTAGGTATTATGTGTGCTCATTACTGCTACAGTCAGACTTGTGTGTGTGTGCAGGTACATTAGCATGTATAGTCGCGTGTGTGCATTTACAACTAGAGGCCAGAGGACAACCCCAGCTATCGTTTCTCAGATGCTCTCCATCTAGCCATCATCCTTCTTGTCTTTTCTCTTTTCTAAAAGATGGAGTCTTTTAAAGGCCTAGAACTTGCCGATTTGGCTAGACTGCCTGGCCAGCAATCCCCGAGGTTCTGCCTGGATCTCCCTCACCAGTTCAGATTATAAACTCCAGCCACCATGGACGATGGTTTTGTTGGGTTTTGTTTGTGGGTCCAGGGAAACTGGCGTGAATCCTCCCTGAATTGACAAAGGAAGAAGCTGAGCTTCGAGAGGCCAAGGACACCTGTGGCTCTGTAGCTCCCAACATGCGGAGTGGTGCCTGTCTGAGCCCGCCCTGCATGAAGCCAACTCATGATGGCTCAGTCCTAAGTGTGCCTTGGAAACTCAGGTTCCCAGGTCTGTGCATCAAGCATTTGTAACTACTGAGCCTGCTCACCGGCCCCCCTTATTTTTATTTTATTATTTTATTTTATTTTATTTTATTTTATTTTATTTTATTTTATTTTATTTTATGTGTATGGGCGTTTTGCCTGCCTATTTGCGTGTGTACCACATGCATTCCTAGAAAGACAGGTGACATTGGATCCATTGCAACTAGAGTCTCAGACTGTTGTGAGCCACCCATGTGAGTGCTGGGAATTGAACTCAGGTCCTCTGGAAGACTGATCCAATACTAACCTGATGAGCTATCTCTCCAGCACAACCTCCTCCGCCATCTCCCCCCCCCCAACTTACATTTTGCAGAACCTGGAGCTCATTGATTTGGCTGGAGTACCTGGCACAGCAAGCTCCGTGGATCATCCTGTCTTCACCTCCAGCGCTTGGGGTTTTCTTTTCTTTCTTTTTGACATGGTTTCGAAAGTCTTGCCCTGTTGCGTCCAACTTTTTTTTATGGATTCTGAAGATCTAGACTCTGGTGTTCCTACCTTGTACCACACGTAACATACCCACTGAGCCATCCCCCTGGCCTCTTTGAAGTAAGGACAGTTTTCTCTCCTGCACTCTATGTTGTTGGGCCTGGTGGTCCTTCTGGCTCTTCTAGCTCCTTCCTGACTATATGCCTCCCCCACCCCGGTCTCTGCCTCCCATTGTCTATCTTTTATCATCCCTCTCTCTTTCTACCTTCCTAAGCCTGCCCCTTGCTGTCTGCTTCTGTCCTGGTGGCTCTCCCCTGCCCTTGGGTCTACCTTTGCCTCTATCTTTCTTCAGGACCTTAGCAAAAAGTACCACCTCTGGTTAGGGGCCTGGGAGGAAGGCAGATTCCCCCAGAATTGGTTCAAGAATTAGGTTGTAAGGAGGACTTATAGAAAGGCCATTTCTGAAGCCAGAAGAGAAGCCAGGGACAAAGGCACAGCAGGGGTTGGCTGTGCCAAGTGACCTTACTCCCCTGGAAAGGGTAAAAAGGCACCCATGTCCTGAGCCGAGCAAAGGCTGAAACCTGCAAGAGCAGAGAAGAGCAAAGGCCCCGAAGGAGCTGCAGACTCCAGAATGCAGCCTCCCCAGAGGCTCCAGGCTGATTCCATCCCATCCTCCCACCCTCAGCTTTTCCTACTGGCCACACCCAAAAGCAAGGTGAGTGGTAGCCTCTCTGGGCCCAGACAGAGGTGAGGAGGAGGACAGGAGCATCCTGGAGAAGGGATAGACAGGGTCACCCCTTCCCAGAGACCTGACTGAGCAAATCCTCCTGTTACCACCATCCAGGGCAGGCTCCCAAGCCCTTCTGGACCAGAAAAGCAGTATGTGATGCTGGGACAGGAGATCCCAGTACTGCCCCTTACTGTCAAGTCCAAGCATGTCCCTTCTCCCAGACACTGCTTAAAATTATGTGTCTGAAAACCCAGGGTAATAGTTACTTATAAGAAATATAAGTTTATTTCTCTCACAATCAGAAGCCTCATGATAAGCTCAGCAGCCTGGCAAGATGGCTAAATGGATAAATAGGTCACAGCACCAGACTGTGGACCTGAGTTTGACACCCCCCAGAACCCACATCAAGAGGCCCTCTGACCTCTACATGCATGCCATAACACATGACAAGCACACCCACACTCACACATTATACACACACAATTTTTTTTTAAAGCTTAGAGTTGGTTCGGTAGTTCAGAAAGTCCTCAGAATTCCAGGCAGCCCCTTTTGAGTCACTTCCTGAACTCATGGTCCAATAGGATTCCTCAAAGCTCCAGCAACCAGCAATCACACCCACATTTCAGTCATCAGCAAAATATCCTCCAAGGACCCAACTGATATGTGAGTGTTAGTCTGAACTGTGTCAAGGTCGTGCTGAGCTGCAGAAGGATCTGGAAGATACGGTCTTTCTTCTGAGTGCGAGCATGGACAGCAGAGGGATTGCTGACTCATCATTATCCTAAGGAAGACAATGGATTCCTGGGCCAGCTACTAGCCGATCCCGGAGAGCAGGTGGTGCTGCAGAGCTGGGGGTGTTAGGAAAATGGGGGGCTGGAGCTGCCCCACCCCCGGTTCTCTTTCTCCAGAAAGTCTCCCTGCAGCTGTCTTTCCTTCTGCTGAATGACGCAGTAACAAGCACACACAACTGAAACCACCACCTAGAAACCAAGATCTGCAATCCTCTTTCTTCCTTCCCTTTCTTTACTGCAGAGCAATCTACACGCCCTCCCTTCCTTGCTCCACTCCTGACCCCGCCTACCGATGGGCGCTCCCTCACCTACTTCACAGACCCACCCTCTCCTGGCCACTCCTACATCATAGACACCTCCTGATCCCTCCTACCTCAGAGGCCTGTCCTCTCACGGCGCTTCTGCCAACCCCTCTTAGCCCCTCCTACTTCGCAGGTACACCCTCTCCTGGTCCTACCTATGTTACAAAAACACCCTCTCCTGACCCTTTTCTGGAGCTCACAATAACTCCAGAAGACAGATGAGCAAAAGAGAGTCCCTTGTGAGAGGTCATACCAGAGTCAACTCAAGTCCAAGGCAGGCTGGTTTACCCACTCAGACCTAGTGGGGTCTGGGAGAAAGGCTGGAAGCCCTCTCTTTTCCTGCGTATGCTCACCTCACTCTTCACACTTGATCTTCACCTTCAACTTTGGGGTCTGGGCAAGAATTGGAGATAAGGAAACCACACCCCTCCTGTGAGTCAGGAAGTCAGAGATGAGGTCAAGGTGTGTGTTGGGGGTACAGGGTCTGCTGTGAGGATGGTGTGAGAGGATCGTCAGTGCCGGGGGAGTGTAAGCGCCCAAATTCCGAGTGCTTCTGCCCTGTTCTCTGGAGACACAGCCTTGCTCAGGGGGTTTCATGTTCCTCTGGGTAGAAGAGAGGCGGCTACTCCCTTGCCTGATTAGCCTGCCACGGCTCATAGGTGCTGAGACATGGCAGGGGGGAAAGGTGATTGCTGGATCACTGTGGGCTGGGAACTGTGAGGGCTCAGGAAGTGGTTATGGCATTCTGAGGAAGGGAGGGGAGGGGAGGGACCCCGAACCAGGAGGGAGATAAGGAGGGAAGAGTGGAGAGGTCAAGTCTGAAAGGTTGGCTTTTGCAGTCATTCCAGGAATCCAATCTTGCCTCCATTTTCAAGGACAGTATGAGGGCTGGAGAGATGGCTCAGTAGTTAAGAGCACTGCTTGCTCTTCTAGAGGACCTGAGTTCAACTCCTAGCACCCACATGGCAGCTCACAGCTATCTGTGACAGTTCCAGAGGATCCAATACCCTCACACAGCCTCACACAAACATCACAAACACACATTCAGGCAAAACACCAATGGAAAAAGAAAGAAAGAAAGGAAGGAAGGAAGGAAGGAAGGAAGGAAGGAAGGAAAGAAAGAAAGAAAGAAAGAAAGAAAGAAAGAAAGAAAGAAAGAA